ATAGACGTGCTTACAGCCCTTGCATGCTACTCTTCCGGCCTACTGTGCACCAGGAGCTTCAGCCTGGCAAATTCCACTGTCTCCAACCAAGGCCCAGGAAAGCTGCTAACGTAAGCACGCCTAAGAGGAAGAAAACCAGGCACAGCACTGGACGATGATTAGGGCTGAATCTGTACATCAGAGAGAAGCCACCAGGGTCCTGCACCAGAGTCATACGGTCTAGTGCTACACAGAAGAGGTACCCACACCAGCCCCACGCCAGCTCCCACTACAGTTTCCATGCATCACCTTGCTGGATGGACCCAGACATACATACAGGCAGGCTAGAGAAGGCAGGACTACCTGTTTACAGTTGGGGTCACAAAGAAAGAGCACACCGTCCAGGCCACTCTGGGGGAGAGAAAGGCGTCTTGCATAGGGAACGGAAGGCAGAGCATGATGAGGAGTCATCAGGTCCCTTCCTACCTACAGGCCTCTAGGGATGCAGCCAAAGATGAGGCCTCAGAGGCGGGCAACTGCCGGCCAGCAGGTGTGCTGGGCTGAAGGGAACCTCTAGGGGCAGTATTCACTGATATGTCAGAATTCAACAATGCACCAACCTGGGAGCTTCCAGAGACTGTTACAGCCACGAGATTCAAAAGCACAGGCCAAGTGGGAACACAAAGATATCTGTACACTCAGAAGGCCGTGGGGAAAGGCTACCGGAAAGGAAGGGGCAGATTCTGTGCTCTTCGGGGCCACCCCAGAGGCATGGAGGAAATGGGGGGAGGCTCCTTGAGCAGAGGCAGGCTGCCTCATCTGATTCGCCCATTCACACCTTCCTTCACATTTAACATTCTCCCACCTCCCTCCTGAAAGCCCTGTAACCCTCTCACTGTAAGCCCACAGGGAGGCCTCAGACCACTGCTGCCCGGAGTTGCCATCAGTACATGGAAACAGAGTTGCAGGTCAAAGGACTGGAACAGTTAGGGGGCGGGGGGGGGGGGGATGGCCCTCCAGGGAATCAGGCATACTGGGGCCACAGGTGCCAGTCCAGGGGGGACTGCTGGACTCTAGCATGGGGCTGTGAAACCCTTCACATGGAAAGCTGGGCCATGGCATGGTCACTGCAAGAAGTAGCTATGGCAGTCATCGGTCACATGACTGTCCCATTACCCTTGCTCTAGGTTTTTGTTTGTTTGTTTTGTTTTGTTTGTTTGTTTGTTTGTGACAGGGTTTCTCTGTGTAGCTTTGCGCCTGTCCTGGATCTGACTCTATAGCCCAGGTTGGCCTCGAACTCACAGAGATCCGCCTGGCTCTGCCTCCTGGCTCTGCCTCCTGAGTACTGGGATTAAAGGCGTGCACCATCACCGCCCAGCTTTTTTTGTTTGTTTGTTTTATTTTTTATTTTGTTTTGTTTTGTTTTTTTTTTTGCCCTTGCTCTAGTGCTGGCATCATTTACATCGGGATCCTTGGCTGCCAGGGTTTTCGAGGCTCCCAAGCAGCTAGATGTGGACAAGAAGATAGAATTCTGACTCAGAATAAAAACCCCAAGGATCAAGTAGCCCATTCACATCATATCTGAAGTTAATTTCCAATCTCAAACCCAACCCTGAAGCGCCAACACAACCCACATCAGAAACAGGTTATAACAGCAATAAAATCTAGCAAATGAAGTAAGATCAAAAGCAGAAATCAGATGGACAGACGCTATTACAAATGTGGATAATGCAAAGTATCACTATAGCCCATGAAAACTACATTAAACCTTAATGCATGTATGTGCCTTGACTGTGACCTCCATTGCAGGTTTTTCACAGTAAAAATTAGATACTTACTTTATTGTGTGTGTGTGTGCATTTTGTGTAAACACATGTGCACCTTACTGCATGTGTGCAGAGGCCAGAAGCCAATGAAATGTTCTCTTTGATCATTTTCCACTTAGCTTTTGAAATAGTCTCTCACTGAACGCAGCATTCACCAATGGCAAAACTAGCTGGCCACTGAGCTTCGAGATCTGCCTGTTTACTCCCCAAGCCCCGGGGCTAGGGTTACAGAGGCACTGGACCATACCCACCTTTCTCACATGGGTGCTGGGGATCCAAACAGATCTTCACGCTTGTGAAGCAGGCACTCTGTCCACTGCATCTCCACCCCCAAATCAGATTCTTATCTGGTGAGGAGGGCTTTGTTTCTGGGAAAATGGAGAAGAACTTCTCCTTGTTTCTCTCATGGAATGCCAATAAAAGTCACGGCTATTGCACATCTAACATCATGAGATTGAAAGCTGGAGGGGAAAAGGCAGGGATGGCAGACCAAGACATGCCATGGGAATTCTGTTTGCCTCCTGTGTCCCAAACACAGAGGTGGAGAAGAAGGAACTCAGGGTGTCACTGGGCACAAACCAAAAGAAAGGCCAACAAAAGACCCAGAATGGGGCAGTTCTCAAGAGGAAACTTCTGGATGATAAGTGTGCTACTCATGGCCAAAGGCTCTGTCTGAAAAGTCTATGCTCTGATCCACCCACTCCAAGTCAACCACCAAAGCTGGACCTCCACCAGTCCCTTAATAAGGGATGGTGTCAGAGAAGCCACAGAAGGATCTTTCTTCAGCTGACGGTATCAATACAACTCCCTTTCCTGTTGTAGAATATTATTTTAAGCTGTGTTACTTTTGTTGATGCTGCATTTGTTTAACTCTGTGAAGCTCTGTTACTGTGCCTGTCTAAAACACCTGATGGTCTACTAAAGAACTAAACGGCCAATAGTGGGGCAGGAGAAATGATAGGTGGGGCTGGCAGGCAGAGAGAATATATAGAAGGAGAAATCTGGGAGAAAAAAGGAGGAGCTAGAGGAGGAGGAGGACCCAGGGACCAGCCACCCAGCTACAAGACCAGCAACAGAGTAAGAAAGAAAGGTAAACGAAAAAAAGAGAAAGGTAAAATCCCAAAGGCAAAAAACAGATGGGTTAATAAAGTTAAGAAAAGCTGGCAATAAACAAGCCAAGCTAAGACTGGGCATTTATAATTAAGAATAAGCCTCTGTGTGTGATTTATTTGGGAGCTGCATGTGGTGGGACCCCTCAAAAGAGCAAAAACAAACAACACCTCCCCTTGCCAGTAAGATGTCACAGAAAACCAGCCTAACACAAGACCCCAAATAAGACAAAGCTTCATGCAATATAACCTAGATGTCTAGATTCCAGCAGGACATTATTTATAATACCAAAAACTAGGAAAGATGCAGTCAGTGTTCAGTGAACAAAGACAACTAACCCATGCTGACATCCAGAGGACAGATGCTAGAATAACTATAAACACTGTAGAGCCGCCATCACAAGGAAGACTAGAGAGAGGCTGGAAAATGGTTCAGTAGGCAAAGGACTTGCTGCCCAAGTGTGAAGATCAGAGTTCAGATCCCAGCACCCACATAAAAGACAGGCACAGTGACATGAGGAGGGAGAGAAACAGATGCACCCCATTTGGGAAGGTCCTCTGGCCATCCAGAGCTCCAGGTTCAATGAGAGACCTTGACTCAAAAAAATAAAAATTAAAATTAAAAAAAAAAGGGGAACCTGATTTAGAGTAAGAGGCCAAAAATACATATTAGAGGGAAGAGATCCTCTTCATCAAATGGTGCTGATCAAACTCAACATCCACACACACAAGAATGAAACTAGATCCTTATCTCTAGTTCTGTACAATATTCACCTTCAGATGGATCAAGGACCGCAGCATAAG